GGCCTCGCCATGAGTCTCCCTGTGCCTGAGCGCTGCTCCCTGGACCCCTACGCTGGAGACGCCCGCGCAGCAGGGAGGGCAGTGGGCTGAGTCCCGGAGAAAAAGACTCCTCGCCGGGCACTCGATGCTTGTATACACTTTGCGGTTTATTTGGTGGTCAGTAAGTAATGTCTTTGCTACTAAGTGGAAGAAAGCTAATAGAACATAATCACAATAGTCACAATAGTGGTTTAATTGACGAATCTTACTTGTTCCTTGCCTACTTACAGTTTACGGGGGTGCAAACCTCGTGCCACTGCCCCTGGCCCTCATTACTGCTGGGGGCTCGCTTTCCCCACCTCAGCTCCGGAGACGTGATGGTCTTTGGCCCTGGGGGTCTCGGCCAGTCGGTCTTCCATCCTGTCCTCGTTCTCCGGCACCACCAGCAGTCAGTGCTGGGTTTCGGCCCCCAGCTTGTGCTCAGGCCGGTGGTCGGGCCTCGAGCCCAGCCGGGTGTCCAGCTTGTACTCGGCCCGGTACTTGCCCTCCTCCTGCCTCTTGAAGGAGGCAGAAGACATGGCCTTGGGCTCGGGGGGCTGCAGCCACGAGTGGCTGAGGATCTCGTCAATGTGCAGCCGCCGGTCGACGTCGGGCTGGAGCATGCGTTCGATGAGGTCCTTGCACTCGCCCGTCAGGTTCTTGGAGCGCGGGAAGTGGACGCGGCGCTCCCTCTGGATGCGCAGCATCTTCCTGATGTTGGAGTCATCGTAGGGCATGGAGCCACAGACCATTATGTAGAGGATCACGCCCAGGCTCCAGATGTCGTATGCCTTGGGCTGGTAGGGGATGCCCTGCAGCACCTCGGGGGCCGCGTACGCTGGCGACCCGCAGAAGGTCTTGCTGAGGATGATGCGGCCGCTGTCGTCCTGCAGGCAGCGTTTGGAGAAGCTGAAGTCGGACAGCTTGATGTTGAAGTCCTTGTCGAGGAGAGCGTTCTCGCACTTCAGGTCGCGGTGGACGACATCCATGTCGTGGCAGCACTTTATGGCCGAGGAGAGCTGGCGGAACATCTTGCGCGCCACGTCCTCGTGCAGGGCTCCCCGGGTTTTGATGAACTCGAGGAGGTCGCCCTGGGCCCCGAGCTCCATCACTACGTAGACCTTCCCATCTGATGTCTCAAAGATCTCGGATCTCTGATCGAGCAGTGGATTGGAACTGGGGGATTGGACTTGGGGAGGCCGGGGAAGGCCGAGGTGTCTGAGGAACTAGCCAGGCAGAGGAGGAGGAGGATGGCCCCTGCACATGATGGCTGCCGGGTTGCAGCGTGGCAGGAGCATGGACAGGCTACAGAGAGACCCTAACGCCTCTGAGGGTCACTGAAGGGGTCGGAGCCAGAGCCGAGCCCAGTGGGTTGAGCAACCGCAGGAGTTGCCCAGCATGGTGAGGCCACCTGTCGAGGAGGCCACCTGGGCCTGCTGCTCTGGACGGTGACTCAAGACAAGTTGCCCACCTTGCTTCCCCCCACCGCAGAGCACACGGCAGAACTCACCTGCAGCCCCCTGTCCCCCAGCCCAGGCTCTCGCCCCTGCCCTGGGGACCACTGTGGGCCCATAGGGATTATAGGGAGGAGGCACATGAGCCACCCCCCAGGACGGCCCCTCAGCCAGCCCTGTGCTCTGGGATCCCACTCCACCACGAGAAACAGGGTGGCCCTGCCAGGGCCACTCAGGGCCTGCTCTGTGTGCAGACGCTGGGCACACACAGGCCAGCTGCAGAGCACACAGTAGGACTGTTGAGCACTGCAGGAAACCCCAGCAAGTTTAGTGGGGGCTGCAGCCCCTCGCCGAGCCCGGAGAGATGGCCAGAGTGTGCAGGGGTGAGTCCCCAGTATGATTACTGCCCGTGTGCGTGAGAGGGCGCGGTGGGGAGGGCTGGCACTGGGAGGCCAGCAGGAAGGACAGGAGGGGGGCCAGGCCTGGGGTCCTTCCCATGGGTAGTAGGAGCCACACAGGGGTGCTCTGGCCACTGTGGGAGGTGGTGGGAGGGAGATGCTGGGCGGACGGGTAGGCTGGGTGTGGGGAGGGCTCCCAGGAGGGCAGGCCCAGGCCCTCACTAGGCCCCACTTCTCCCCAGGGACTGGGCGTTGGGGTCATCCGGGAGAGAGCCAGGCCAGGGGAGTGCTGAGTCTGAAAGCGCTTGTCCTTTGTGTGTGTGGAACCCTCAGGCCTGCACGAAGTCGTCCAGAATGAGGTGAAGAGAAAGGCCACGCAGTGAGGTGAGGACTGCCTGAGACAGCCTGGGCGGGGCACGCGTCGCGAGAACCCCTGTCCTGTCCCACTTGCCAGTTTCAGCTTCTCAGCTCTGGCAGGGGTGTCACTCCTGGGGACAGGCTTGGACTCGAGGGGCTATGGTCAAGGCCACAGAGGACTGTGGGGGCACACTTAGGCCGTCCACTTCTCCCAGACCGGGGAATGACCACAGGGTGGGGTGACTCGGCACTGTTGAAAACTGGGTGCTGGCTGGACATGGGGGGAAACTGGTGGACACAACAGGAAAAACGAGCCACCCAGCAGGTTGGGGAGCTTGGGGGTGGGGGTGGGGCTGAGACGCTATCTGTCTCCCCTCAGAAGCCTCTCCCCAACCCCCACTGGCAGCCTGTGGGGCTCAAGAGGACGGGTCTGCCGAGACCCTCCACCCCAGCTGCAGACAGAGCCAGCTCTCCCAGCCCTCCTCTGTGGCAGCCACCTCGGCGCCCTTCTCGGTCTTGCCCTCCCCTGCCCTCCCCACCCCAGCATTGCACTCGGGGGCGTCCCCCTGGAAGCAGTGGGTTCTTCACTCAGCTCCTGGCTCTGGTCCCCGCTCCTCCAGGTCTCCCACCCCTAGCTTCTAACTGGGAACCTCTAACTAGTGCAGCTGCCTGAGGTCAGTCTGGGCCGGGCACTCCGGGATGTGTTTTCCCAAGTGAGCGAGGGACTGAAGTGCAATCCAAGTGGGAAGCCAGGGCAAAGACATTCACCTTGGGGTGACATTCACCTTTATTGCTTCTTTAGCAAGCAAACCTGGGTTTGGGCCAAGAGAGGCTCACTAGGTGTGTGCCTCTGGAGGCTGTTGGGGGGGCTCTTTCTCTCTGTGCCTGGCTGACTGCTCAGCGGTCAAGCCCCAGGTCTCCGAATATCTAGGCTTTGGCACTGCCTCTACCTCAGGTGTCGTCTCGGATTGTGCCTCGGGCTGTGCCTCTTCCTGAGGCTCCAGCTTGGTGGCAGACTTCTTGTCAGGGTCGGGCTCAGGGCTCCTGGAGGACTCTGTGACGCGGGAGCTCTCCCCCTCTTTGTGGGGGATGGCTGCAGAGGACAGGTCCCGTGCTTTGGGCTGCACCCAGCAGTGGCTGAGGATCTCGTCCATGTGCAACCGCCGGTTGACGTCGGGCTGGAGCATGCGGTAGATGAGGTCCTTGCACTTGCCTGTCAGGTGCTTGGAACTTGGGAAGTTGACGCGGTGCTCCCTCTGGATGTGCAGCATCTTCTTGATGTTGGAGTCGTCGTAGGGCATGGAGCCACAGACCATTATGTAGAGGATTATGCCCAGGCTCCAGATGTCGTACGCCTTGGGCTGGTAGGGGATGCCCTGGGGCACCTCGGGGGACGCGTACGCCGCCGACCCGCAGAAGGTCTTGCTCAGGATGATTCAGCTGCTGTCCTCCCGCAGGCAGCGTTTGGAGAAGCCAAAGTCGGACAGCTTGATGTTGAAGTCCTTGTCGAGGAGAAGGTTCTCGCACTTAAGGTCACGGTGGACGACATCCAGGTCGTGGCAGTACTTGATGGCCGAGGAGAGCTCGTGGAACTTCTTTCGAGCATCGTCCTCGTGCAGGGCTCCCCAGGTTTTGATGAACTCAAGGAGGTCGCCCTGGGCCCTGAGCTCCATGACGATGTAGACCTTGCCATCTGATGTCTGGAAGATCCCGTAGGTCTTGACGATGAAGGGGTGGTTTAGCATGGTCAGAATTTCAGTTTCCCGGGGAAGGAATTTCTCCAAGAAGTCCGTGGGGGCTTTCGTGTGGTCGATCATCTCGACCGTTATGTTGAACTTCAGGTGCTGAGAGTAAGCAGATTTGGCTTTTGCGTAGGAGCCCTCTCCCAAATTTATACCCACTCCCAGTGTCCTCACATGACTCCGGCCCACGCCCACCCCGGTGCAGCCCCAAAACCGGCAGCCAGAGAACTCACCAGGCGTCTCCACAGCAACCGCCCTTCAGCCCTGACCCTGGTGCCCGCTGGCTGGCTGCGCGCCTGACAAGACGCTCTCCCATTGGCTCCAACCCCGGCTCTGCCAGCCAATCATTGCGGGTCCACTCGCAGCTCGCTCGCCGGCTGTGTGTTTTCGCCCCGGCCCTATGGGCGGCGC